CATGGCTCTATTTATTCCAGATTTAGGTAGCAACAAAAAATGTATCCTATACTTGCCCTCTATCTTAGTTTGTTACAAATCCTTTGATTTGTTATCTCTGGTTGGTCCACTCTTGTTTTCACCTCTATTTACTCAGATTAGAGCACTTTGCTTGCTGTTTAGTAAAGCATTTTCATAATTGGCTGTGATTTTTTTTTCCTGGATAAATTAACAAGCTTAGGCTGAAAACCAGCACACACATTAACAAATACAGGATCTGAAGTAGTGCATCAATTTTGAGCAATTTCCCAGACTTTAAAAGCCTCATTTTGAATATGATGTGGCCAAGGGTAATGCATCTATGGTTTTTTTTAAAAAATAAAAAAATAACTCATGCTATTTCAAGTGGCAGCTTGGCGGCATCTGCAGCCATATAATTCAACCAGAATGTGACTGAGAATTTCATCATTAAAAAACATACCATCAAAATTACAACTGCAAAAATCTAGGCAGACAGGAGATAGCAACAAAGACATTTTAAAATACTATTTACTGCCTTCTAGTGGCCATTCCAAATACTGCAACCCAAGAATGATTTGTTTTTAGTTGCAAAGTTGTGTCCGACCCATCCCGACCCCATGGACAACATTCCTCCAGACCTTCTGGTCCGCTACCATCCTCTGGAGTCCATTCAAGCTCACACCTACTGCTTTGGTGATTCCACCCGGCCACCTCATTCTCTGTCAACCCATTCTTCTTTTGTCCTCAATCCTTCCCAGAATTAGGCTCTTCTCCGGTGAGTCCTTCCTTCTCTTCAGGTGGCCAAACTTTTTGAGTTTCATCTTCAGGATCTGGCATTTTAAAGAGTAGTCAGGGTTCATCTCCTCTAGGACTGACCGGTTTGATCACCTTACAGTCCAAGGGACTCGTAGGAGTCTTCTCCAGCACCAGAGTTCAAAGGCCTCCATTCTTTGGCGCTCAGCCTTCCTTATGGTCCAACTTTCACAGCCATCCATTGCAACTGGGAAAACCATAGCCTTGACTATACACACTTTTATTGGGGTGTAGCAA